TATGTTCCTTGTTGTGTCCTTTATTCCCTATATCTATATAGGGAATAAAGGACACAACAAGGAACTCCAAACTAAAGTATCTGCCAAAAGTTTAGAGAGTTTGTAACTAAAGAGTAGATACCAAAATGAACGTTTCTTATCGTTTTATCCACCTGTAGTCTTCGTTTTACTTATACGGCAGTTTGGCCTTTCCGTAAGTTCAGCATCTTTAAGCACGGACTTTTTTTCTAGCACGAAAGAAAAGGCAAGGGAAAGAAACCGAGAGGGAAAGAAACTGAGTTACGTACTGGTTTAAACTTGCTGGTGGAAGCAGCGGTCCTCCAGCAGGTTTTTCCACATTGGTTTGTCAGGAAAACGTGTTGCGGTCTCCAAAGCAAAATCCAGAATTCGAAGAAGTGAGGCAGTCCTCGGGGAACCCAACAGCGAGAGAACGTGACCGAGGAAAGCTAGACAGGTATATGCAAGTTAAGAGCTACTCTAGGAGTGACTGATTCAAGCCTTCACAGCTGGGAAGGACGGAGTAAATTCAAGTCACGCCCCTCACCCACACCCAGTACCTGATGGCTTTAACCCTTCCAAGTATGGACAAGTGCCTTCGCAGTGGGCCCCGCGTACAGAAACAAAACGGCACGCTCCTCTCTCTGAAGCTAGCCTAATTACAAAATGCGTTTGCGTATATACTCTCGGCTGGGAAGCGATTGAAAAAAAAAACCTTAAAAGACCCGCTGTATACTAAAAGACTACTTCTGTCTTAGGCACAAAGCCAGTTGGGTCAGTCATGCGCTCCCTCTCAGTGCTAAGAAGAAAAGAGTGGTGAACCACTTCTGAAAACTCTTGCCAAGAAAATTGCAGGAACTTGTCCTCACAGCTACCAAAAGTCAAGAATGCTCAATTAAAAAAAAAACCCTTATGGTAGAGTTATCAGCATTGTTCTACATCCTCTTCCTAAAATTAAACGATATGCTCTGTTGCTTAAGATACGTGCCAAAGTCAATTTGTATTATTTAACTTTATATATTGCTCAGTCGTGTAGAAAGCTATATAAATTTACTAAATGACTAAATAAATTGATTGCATAATTCTAATCCTTATCAAGGTCTGATTTTGAAGTCAATAAAACAGGAATCAGGTAGAACCTTTTCTCACTATCAAATGTTATTTGGTGAGCTGCCATTCTTTTCATCAGATGCATAAAGTAACTAGACTGATAAACAGATTTAAATGGGATGAGAGGGATTGAAGACTGTCATACGAATTTTAAGAATAATATGTAAAAATTCTTTATTGAGTGATAAACTGAGGCTAATATTAAAGTAAGAAAAAGGAAACATTGGTTAATTTGAATAGTTTCCTTAGAGACAAAATGTTGCTACTTACAGTTTAAAAACATTGAGAGCAATCAACATTCAAAAAAAAAAGTCTGAGGCAAAATAAACAGATTTTGAAAACTCTGACCAACTGACTGGCTGTGGAAGATCATGGAAAAGTGATGTAAAAGGTCATAACTTCTGAACTACGCTTCATCCTTCATCTCCAGTTTAATTAAGCTCAATTCATGGACTATCTAGTACAGGGGTTGCCAACCTTTTGGACCTCAGGGACCACCAAACTCATAATTTTAAATCCCAGGATCACTAATTGGTTCTGTATGTGTCGCCTAATTTGTGGGTGTGGCTTGGTGGTCATGTGACTGGCTGGGCATGGCTTGTATGTAAATATTATAAATATTTATATAAACATTGAATTTTTTAATAAAAAAGAACAACTTTTACCCAAAATCAGGCAAAGCAGGCAGGCAGATTGAGTTGCTCACAGAATCACAGATTCATTCAGAGATCTATCTATCTGCCATCGGCTACCTCAGTCTGTCACATAAATTTTGCTAGCAAACAAACTCACAAAATTAAGGTTTTTTTAAGGTTTTTTTTTCAATACACCATGCATATAAATATTGATTTTTTTTAATAAAAAAAGAGCAACTTTTACCCAAAATCAGGCAAAGCAGGCAGGCAGATTGAGGTGCTCACAGAATCATTCAGTGATCCATTTATCTTCCATAGGCTAGCTCAGTCTATCACAAAAAAGTTGCCTGCTGTGAGTCTGCACTGAATAATAGAACCTTCAGTCCTAAGGAAGGTTCGACTGTGCTTAAAAGCAGAGCTGAAGATCTAAAGACTAGCTAGAATGCAAGAAATCCAACCATTTCCTGCTTCCTAGCTAATCTAAATCTCCTGGCACATCAGAACAGCTGATGGTTCGGAAAAAGGAAAAATAGCAACTTAGCAGGCAAGTTTGTTGGGTAAGGAGTGAGTGTGCGGGGAAGGTTCCCACAGGCCATGTGGGTGGTGCAGCCTTGTATTTCTGCGCAGCTTGGATTAATTGCTTTGGGGTGTGCTCTGGAGGTTACATTTCTCTGCAGCCCACCAAAATTTTCTCGCGGTCCACCAGTGGGCTGCGGCCCACTGTTTGGTGACCATTGATCTAGTATTTACCTCTGTAGAACATGAAACAGAGGCATCCATGAGTACTGATACTCATTTACTCTGTTCCAGAAAGTTGGAAGTACAAGCTTTTGGCTTATGCAGAAGCTGAGTTTATTCATTCTGCCAAATGTGAAATAGTTTTATATTCCAGCTATGAAATACAGATTATGTCTCCCTGACTCAAAATATTTTGTGAATACCTTTTTTTGAAAAGATCTTCATGTTCTTCATTAGTGTCATTAATAAGAGTGGTAGATGCATAAGTATTTTATGTTCACAAATGATACAAGAAAATTTATAGCAGAATGTGAATTTTACTTTCCTGAATACAGGTAGCACTTGAGGTACGACCAGTTATTAATGGTCATTCAAAGTCAGTTATTAATGGTCATTCAAGGTAGATAACCCCCCCCAACAGATACATATGAACCCATTTCAAAGTTATGGTGGCTGCAGTGGTCCCGCAGTCATTCACCCTTATGACCAACTACAAGGATCCTCTCGCTTCGTCTCCCACATTCTGTCCTGCCAGGACCTTGTAGTCCTTAGGCCTGCTCCCCATACATCCATCGCTCATTGGACTGACCTTTTGAAGATCTTTGGATCTTGGGAGGCCAGAGATAGGCAATCCGCCTCCCCCATCCCTGAGGCAGCCTATCAGTGGTGGGATTCAAATTTTTGTACTACTGGTTCTGTGGGTGTGGCTTAGTGGGCATGGCAGGGGAAGGATACTGTAAAATCTCCAGTCAGAGATGGTATTTGCCGGTTCTCTGAACTGCTCAAAATTTCTGCTACCGGTTCTCCAGAACTGGTCAGAACCTGCTGAATACCACCTCTGCAGCCTATGCTTTGTTTAGTGACCTGCACATTTGTTTAATAACTGCATTAGGAAGAATAGGGATGGAGGTGTGAAGAGAAGCCATTTTGCTTAATGGCTGCAACAACATGTGCCCGAATGAGCAGGCTGCATTAGAGTCATATCTCAAGGACTGCCTGTATATCCCAGTGATGTGAGCTTTAATCATGGACATTCTGTACTCAAAAAACCCTGCTATCTATACCTGAAATAAATAATGTAAATTAATCATGTCTGCTTACTCTTCTGCTTGCTTATTATGTTCTGCGTTAGCTAATTATGACTATACAAATTCTGGCTACCATCTTTCTTTTCCCTTTCACTAGACATAGCTATATATATCCACCCTGTTATCGCTGCTATAAGAAACAAAATCATTTTTGCACTGAAGCCAAATACCTTGGAATACTAAGTTCTTCTCCTGGTTGTAAATTTATTATTCATGAAGTATGATTTTTGAACACACAGATCTTTGGCCATTTGGAAACTGCTGTTAGTCCTATTGACAATAGCACCACCTACTGACACCCCAGTATCACTTGCTGAAAGAACTGTGGGAGATTCCAGTTATGGTTGGCTTTGCATATCAAAAGCTGTGGATTTTTTCATGCGTGATCCTATCTACCAAACAGTAGGAATCCCTTCCTCATTTGCTTGTATCTGATCTTGGCAACTCCAATATTTACCTTTGAACATATGACATTGACTTTTTTATGGTTTCTTCAGTAAATATACAAAACATTTCGGTTTCTGAAAATAATGGTTTTTTTCTGCTAGAAATGACAGAAATGTACAAAAAAACAAAGTACTTGGCTAAATTTCTTGGTTGAAGGAAGGTGGTTAAGAACACAACTCTTGCAATGAGTGACCAGAAATATAACTTGCGAAGAAAGAAGCTGTAGCTAGATTTTCTCTCTTAAATTACAGGTTGAGAGAAGTATTGGACTTGCCATTGATTAAATATTGACCAACCAATTATCTGAAAACACTGGTACAGTACTGCCTATGAGGACAACAGGTTTCATTAAGAAGGTACTGTGAATACAAGTTGAACACTCATGTTCACATATTCTATAGCTCTTTTTACTATATCAAGGAACGAGTGTCACTTAAAATTCTAGTTAGAGAAGTGTCAGGCAGTTTTCATTTCTACACAACACAATGAAAAAAGTACATCATAGAAAAATAGCTAAAGGTAATACCATATCTGGCAAAAAGTAGGACAATTGCAACAAATCTAAAACAAGTTCTCAAAGTAAACAAGTTTTCACATTGTGGACTAACCTGGACATATCAAGGAATACATGTATACATGTTTTGCATTTGTGATGGGCCATATTACATTGATCAATCATAACCTGAGGATACTGCTTTACATATAATGTGATTGATCCCTAATAATCTTCATTTCTTCCAACATCAAAATGCAAAGAACAATGCAAAGAACAATGCTAGTTAGAGGAAGGATGAGCTGCGCAGAAGCATGAAAGAAGAATTTGGGAGGAATAGACTGCCCACAGTTGGTTGCTCCAAAGTTGCAGCACCCACAGTGTGGTCAGTCTATTCTCTATTAATACAAAAGTCCAGTTGCATTGTGATTTTGCATACTCAGCAACAAGACAGCATTGACTTGGCTTCTAGATACAGCCAGCCTCATTTTTCCATGATTATTAAATGGATATGGCTTTCCCATTGACTTTGCTTTTCAAAAGCCACCTGTAAAGGTTACAAATGGTGATTACATGACCCCAGAATGCCACAAACTTTGTAAATATATACCAGTTACCAAGTGCTCAAATCACATTCATGTGACCATGGGGATGGGGCATCAGTTGTAAGTGTGAGGCCCTACTTTTCAGTGCCATTGTAATAGTGAATAATGGTTAAATGAATGGTTATATGTTGAGGACTATCCATATGTTGATAATAAGCAATGTTTGCTCATCAACAGACTTTAATAGTTAGCAAGTTTTCCATGCATAGTCGCATTACAATATATTGCAGTGATGATGTATTATTTAATAGATATGTTAAGCCTCAGAGCTGCTAAACAGCCACTACTTCTATCTAAAGCACCTTTATTTAGAATTATTGTGAAAAGAAAGGAAGAACCTATTATACATCTATCAATAAACAT